GAGGTGGGATTAGGGATTCTGTAAGAGGGTCTGGGTCCATCCCAGTAGGCAGGGAGGGAGGACAGAGGAACGGGCTGGGGTCAGTAGCTGACGTGCAGCTTTCCACTTCAGTACTGAGAGCCAAACTCTGCTTTGGAAAAGCCTGCAGGGTTTGCCAAACCTGGAGGTCATGGCTGCTGCATTGGGACAGGGACAAAGAAGGTGAGGACTTGTGAGCTTTGGGTTGCAGATGGGGAAACTGAGACCAGTTCAGTTCTACCGAGAACCAAATGAAAAGGAACACTCATGTTGGTGTTTTGGGCTGAGGCCTGAAAAGTCTGCACTTGAACCTCTTGCCTGGCCTCCCTGCTTCAGCACTTCCTTGGCTTGAATGCTGCCATTGACGAGAAGCTCATCACTCTGCAGCCTGGGCATTTGTACTGTAACATCAGGCAGTCAGTTGATGAGCTGGAGCTCATGTTCCAGCTCCTAACATTGAGTTGTTCCTGGGAAAACAAGGTCACCTCTCTGCCACGGATTCCAGAGGGCGGTTTCTTTTCTCTCTGGAATGACTGCGTGTGGAGGCAGGCAGATGCATGTCCTCGTGGAGGAATTCCTCAGACACCGTGAGAGCTGTGGTCCAGATGATTCTGTGGCTTCTTAGTCGCTGAGGGCTTCTGTGGGTGAAAGGGGGCCTGGAGTCCTCAATCCCACTGTGGGGAATTGTGCACCTCTCTCCCTCTCTGGGAGGCTGTGTCTGGGGTGCTTTGGCAGAGAATGGAGTGGATGAGTGGGGCTCCAAGAGAGAGGGAGGGAGGGTGTGGGGCATGCTCCAGCTCTCAGGGTCAGCTGTGAGGAGGCAGGAAGGCAAACTGGGAGGAGTGGCTGACAACTGCTGCTGTCTGCCATTCTCCTCCGAAAATGGACACAGTAAGGCCAGGACCTTTGGGCTTGTTGGTTGCCACCTGCTCTGTCGGTGCTTTGAAGTGTTAACAAGCAGATGCAAAGGAGAAGGTGAAAGGGGACCTATGTTTGATGGAGAATATCCTTTTTTTTTTTTTAATATTTATTTTATTTGGGGTGCCTGGGTGGCTCAGTGGGTTAAGCGTCTGCCTTTGGCTCAGGTCATGATCTCAGGGTCTTGGGATCGAGTTCTGCATCGGGCTCTCTGCTCAGCAGGGAGCCTGCTTCCCCTCTCTCTCTGCCTGCCTCTCTGCCTGCCTACTTGTGATCTCTCTCTGTCAAATAAATAAATAAAAAATCTTTAAAAAAAGATTTATTTTATTTATTTGAGAGCGAGAGAGAGAGAGAGAGAGCATGAGCAGGAGGAGGGACAGAGGGAGAGGGAGAAGCAGGCTCCCTGCTGAGCAGGGAGCCCGACGCAGGACTCAGTCCCAGGACCCTGAGACCATGACCTGAGCCGAAGGCAGACGCTTAACCCACTGAGCCACCCAGGCACCCCTGGCAGAGAATATTCTTCCTTCAAATTAGGGTTTTCTTTCTTTCTTTCTTTCTTTCTTTCTTTCTTTGGCCAAGAGCCCCTCTAGCAAGCTGGCAGAAACTCATGGACCCCCTTTCCAGAATGTTTTCAAGTGCACAGACTGTATGGGCTTATAGAGGAAGTAAGTTGTAGTCAGAGAGCTATGGAAACACTAGAAAACAAATCAGTGATGTAGTAATACACGCCATCCATTATTTTGTGAACTAGATCACTGATAAAGTAAACTAAGGTTAACTTTTATTTTGTGAAGACACATCCGTGACCAGGCTGTTGTCGCTCAGCTTGGGTGGGGACGTTAAGCTAGAGTGTGCCTTTGATGGGCACACATCTGCGTGGCAGACACCCAAGTCAGTGTGATTGTCCTTTCGGTCTCAGGCGTTGAGAACCTGTTTGCAGATGGCACGGCTGCATCTTTTGGGCTTGCTGGGCATGGTGAGGATAGGTTTCATTCTGGGGTCCTCGGGAATCACCTGCTCGTAAAGTCACTTGTGAGAACCTGGGGGCTTAAGACTACCAGGCACACATTTGCCCAGAGTTGGCGAGTCAAGGCACTCCAGCGCCTGTGGGCGGGGCCCCGGGTCCCTGTGGCTTTAAAGGAGGGATGATCGTGCGCCGAGTTTCCAGACACCTGCACTGTGCGGTGGGGTATAAACTGCCCATGAGTTCCATGGCAACCATGTCCCAGGCTCTGTCACACAGTGGGGACAGCAGCCTTCACTCCTGATCGGATGAAGTTCTGGACTAGCATAATTGTTTATAAACCATCCAGGCTCCATGGAGTGGGTCTTTCAGTCCACCCACACCCTGTCCCGCCCTCTGTTCTCCCCCCAGGCAAAAGTATGAGCACTAGGGACCTCACTAACACACCCCCTGCCTTGCTGACCCCCTTCTCTGGTAGTGGGCAGTTGTGGCATGACCACTAGGACCACCAGTCATAGGAGCTAAATCCGTTTGGATCGGGAAAAGGCTTTTGGACCATGCCATCCCTGCTGTCGTTTTAGGGCTGGGGACATGGGGAAGTTACTTGGGGCCCTGCAGCCTAGGACCAGCAGGAGGAGGCCCCTGGGCTGGTGAGGCTCACTCCAGGCAGGGTGGAGAGAGGTTTCAGGAGGAGTTTTGCAGAGTGGGAGGCCTGGAGATCGGGGGCTTCACCCTCCTCTAGACGGTTTGGAAGCCAGTCAACTTTCAAAGGGTATTGTCCGTCCCCCAGCCCTGGAGTCTAAAGCTGTGCACATGGATATTGTCTCCCAGCGGCTCTGACAGGGCTCCAGCTGGAGCCTGTTGTCACTTCTGGAGCCCATGAGAAAGGGGGGTGGTGGCTGGAGCTGGAGCTGTGGGGGTGTCAGCCACAGCTTGGCCCAGAACGGGCAGCTGTGGGCACCTGCTGCCTCCTATAGGCCCTTCCCATGTCCTGTCCCTCATGCCCTTGTCTGCGACAGCTTCCCGTGCTCCTGTTCCTGGGGGAGACTCTTCCCAGCCATGCCTTCTCGGCCCAGGCTGCTGAGAAGGTCTGGAGAACTTCAGTGAGCGGCGTTGCCAAAGCAAGTGAAGTGGAAAGAACTTTCTGGCTCTCCTTTCGGTGGGCTGGGGCCCACTGTGGAGCCTCTCTTGCTCTCTGAGCAGCCTGTGCTTCTGTTTAGGAACAGAGAGGCTCATTCCGTCCATCTTTGGCAGAGACAGAGAGAGAGGGAAAGTGGGAGGGGGAAATCGGGCGGGGTGTGGTGGGGCTCTTACAAACACAAGGTGTGTGTGTTGACAGCCATGTTGCATGGCTGCTGGGAGTTTTCAAGGATGACAAGGCAGGGCCGGAGGGAGAGAGGGAGCCCTTTCCAGGCTGGAGAGGGACAGGACAGTTGGTGGTCTGGGAAGGTTTGAGGATGGGTGGATGAGTCTAGTCACTGTCTAGGCGGCTCTGGGGAGGGGGAGCCTGAGTGTTCAGGGCTTGGGGACGCTCAGCCTTCCCGCTGACCCACTGAGCCCCTGCCTCCGCCACCCACTTCCCCGAGGTGCTGCTGCTGGTTTCCAGAGGCCGGGGTGGGGGGAAACGTGGCTGGCTCCAGCAGACTGTCTGTACCATGTGGAGCAGCTCATCCGGGCTGAGGGGCTGACTGTGGGTGAGGGAGTCTGGAGTCTAGGGACCGCTCCCCGCACCCTCCAGCAGCTCCTCGCCCATCTCTGGCCATTTCCCCAGACATTCTCTGATTTGTTCTCAGTATGCTTTAACTTTATTACCTAGTGTTCAGAGGAGAAAAAGCAAAAGGAGATGATACAAATGAACTCTCATCCCACTTGGTGATAACTTACATGAGCATCTTGACGTGTACCTGCCGGGGTTTTCTGCTGATACATTTTCATGAAGTGAAACGGGATAGCAGCCTATCCTTGCCTTACAACCTGTTCCTTCTGTGCCTGCATCCTCGATGCCTTTCCAGTCCATCAGTGTGATATTTTCAATGGCTGTTGAACCTTTCACCTTCGAGATGCCTCTACTTTATTCAGCAGAGCTGCTGTTGTTGGATGGAGGGGGTTCCCGGGGTTTGGCCATTGTAAGTGACACTTCCAGGAGCAACACATCCTGGAAGCCTGGTTTTTGCGGACATCCTTAAGTATTTCTCTGAGAGATCCCCTCCCCCCCACCCAGGGAATCACTGCATCCAGCAGGGCGCCCAGCCTGTCTCGTGGGCGTGCAGGGTGGAAGCTTTGGCTGTGATGGTGATACTGACGATGGCGTCAAGTTCAGGGGCCTGGCACTTTTACTGAACCCTGGGGTGTCCCCAGCCTCACTTTGTGATATTCATGATTAAACTGTCCTCCTGCATCCTGTTTGCATCCACATTCTCTCCCCCTCTTTTTTAAAGATCTATTTATTTTAGAGAGTGCACACGAGCGAGGGAACGAGCGAGAGCACGAGCAGGGGCAGAGGCAGAGGGAGAGGAGAGAGAATCTCAAGCAGACTCCCCGTTGAACACATAGCCCGACACTGGGTTCCATCTCATGACCCTGAGATCATGACCTGAGCCGAAATCGAGGTGGACTCTTAATGGACTGAGTGCCCCACCCCCCCGCCCATCTGCATTCTTCAGAGCCAAGCCTGACTTTCCTCTGCACCTGCCCCTGGTCTTCCCACTTCTCCCCACTCTGGGAGCCTGGCCTCCATGTGGCCTGACCCAGTCACTTAGAGCCCTAGGTTGTGACCTGGTGTGGAAGGTTAATTAACCCCTTCCTGACAGTCATCTTTTCGCCAGAGGAGTATAACCATAAGGGGTCAGGGACTGTGTCTTTATGTCCCTTTATGTCCATTACCCTCCCAGACCAGTAGTCAAGGGACAGGTACACAGTAGGCACTCAGTGAACAGGTGGGAGACAGCACACCTACCTTCTGTTTCCAGCTACAGGCTGAGTTGTCTGTTTCTGGGCCTCAGACTTGGCATCTGGGCAGTGGGGGTAGAGGTGGGCTAGGTCCCGGCCTGCCGTGAATTTTCTCACCCCTTCTGCCGCCACATGCCTTCTCATCCTGCAGGTCTGGGCTCCTGAGGCTGCCAGCGGACTATGGGCACCACGGCCAGCACAGCCCAGCAGACAGTTTCGGCGGGCGCCCCCTTTGAGGGTCTCCAGGGCGGCGGCACAATGGACGGTCAGCATTCGCTCAGTGTCCACTCCTTCCAGACCACGGGCGTGCACAACAGTAAGGCCAAGTCCATCATCCCCAACAAAGTGGCCCCTGTCGTGATCACGTGAGTGGAGGCGGGATGGGGGTATGTGTGACTGTATCCCTGGAAGACATGGTTGGGGCAGATGCCCAGAGGAGTGGTGGCATAGAGCACTTAGTCTACAAACTGCTTTCACAGATGAAGATACTGAGGCCGAGAGAGGTTAAGCAGTTTGTCTGGAGTAACACAGCAATCAAGTGGCTGAATGGGTCTCTGTTGTGGGTCTCTTAGCTCATGGCCACAGGGCAAGGAAGCATAGAGAAGGAGGAGTGGCTGGCGGGGGGACACCTTTTTGAAAATCATTTTTGGCCGAATATTTTCAAAGGGAGCTTACAGACTGAGATGAATAAAATTTAGATTTTTATTTTTCACACCTAGTAATTATGGTTCGAAACTGGGGTTAATACCCGGTTGTGAAAGAGCTGTGGGCTCAAAAAGCTGGAAGCTCTTGGTCACTTCTCTTAATTAGGTCCTTGAGGGGTTTTCCTGGAGGAGGCCGAGAGTGGGTTCTGGTACCATATTTTGAGACATAAGGATACACCACGTGCATCCAGAGGAAGAGGATCCAGAAGGGGGCTCTGCGACCCTGTCTGCCCAGTGGTGTCAGTGAAGGAGTGGGTGCTGGGAGCCAGAGGCCAGGAGGACAAGAGAGGCATGGGCTCTGTCTCCTGGTGAATTGGGAAGCCTCGGCTTCTGTCGAATCTGCCTCTGGGCCCCTCCAGCATGCGAGATATAGGACATAGTGAGCTAAGAACGAACTATGTTCCACACATAGAAGTTTGGCAGAGACCTAGTAGGTGGGACTTTCTGTGTAAGGAGACCTAAGGGGTGGGAATAGTAAATTGGCCTGCTGGCTTTGGGCCCTGACAGGAAAATTAGGATCCCAATCCACTACTGTGCTTGCGATAAGGGGAAGAGAAGAGACATTACAGACAAGAGACTTGATACGTAGTCTCTCTGCCGGAGATGACACATGGAGGTTTGGCCCTTGAGGGCCGTGTTGGAGACACATGTCCTGGGCCTTGCTCTGTGACCTCGGGAAAATCCTTTTCCCTCTCTGGGTCTTGTTTTTCTTATCCGATCCCATGGGGATGACGAGCAAAATACTTAACGAAGTGGTGTGGCTCAGAACAGTCTTGGGCCTGCCAGAGTGGGACTGTGTGCGCCTCCTGGATCCAGCATGAGCCCAGCACCCCTGGGGTTATAGCGTGTTTAGGGGGAAGGGACCTTAAAGATCACCCAACACAGGGCCTGGCAAACTATATCCTGTGGGCCAAATGCCACCTAGCGTCTGTTTTTGTAAATAAAATTTTATTGGAACACTATCACTCCTATTCATTTACATACTGTCCATGGACGCTTAACACTCGAATAGCAGAGTTGTAGTTGCAACAGAAACTATGGCTCGCAAGTCAAAATTATTTACTGTCCAGTTCTTGATATAAAAGGTTTGCTGACTCCTGATCTAATATGTTTTAGAGCAGGTGTGAAAACTGGATCTAAATACATAAACCAGGCTTCTGGAGGTAGAGGGATTTGTCCACCACGTGGTGAGATGGATGCCGAGCTGGGAGCAGGACCCTAAGTCTCTCGACTCCTCGAATAGTGCTCCCCTGACCCACTCGGTCCCCTGCCCTGCCTTTTCTGGACGCAGTTCTTTAGTAAAGAGGAGCAGTGTCTTATTCACTGTTACAACCAGCACGGAAGCTTCTTGTGTCTTGAGCAGACAGATCCATCCCAGCAGAAATCTGGTTTTATACCCGTGGGTTTTGCTTGAAACGGTCCCATGTAGAGGTAGCTCTGTGACTGGTAAAAATGATTGTTTTAATAAACCCTTATTGTGCCCAAGGCTCTTGGCTGAGCACTTCCATTCAGCGGTGACTTGAGTTCTCACAGCGGCCCCAGAAGGTGAGAGTTACTGGAAAGGGAGCCACAGAGAGAGTGAGTAACTCCAAAACCACAACGTTGCTGAGTGAGGGAGCTGGGTTCATGCCCAGGTCATGCAATCCCAAAGCCTGTGTCCTGAGCTCCCTCACTGTGCCATGGGGTTGTTCTCAGAGACAATCTGATGGAAGGGTCCCCAGGGACCCAAGCAACCCTTGAATGGGAGGCCTTAAATAAGACTGGAGCTTCTCTCTGCACGAGAGTCCAGGACGCACGCCAGGCTGGAAATGGCCGCTCTGGGATCAGCCAGACCCCTTCTCTCTTGTTTCCCCACCATCATCAGCACCTACTTCTCGCCATCACCTCTGAAGAGAAAGTAGAAGGCACCCACCTTCCCTTTAAGGGAATGGCCAGAATTTGTTTGCATTACCACCTCTCCTCATATCCCATTGGTCGAAGCTTAATCACATGACCATCCTATAGCTCCAAAGGAGGCTGGGAAATGTAGTTCTCTGCCAAATAATGGCCCAGTCAGAATTCCACGGTTCTGTTGCTGAGGAAGAAGGGGAGAGTAGATACTGGGGACAGCAGGCTGTCTCTGGCACAGGTGGGTAGCTGCGTGGGTAGGCTGGCCCTGTTGTGGGGTCTGGTGAGGGTGGAGGCTACCTTGATCGCAAAGGTTTCCTGACTTGGGCTCCATTCTGCCCTGACAGGTACAACTGCAAGGAGGAGTTCCAGATCCATGATGAACTGCTCAAGGCCCATTACACGCTGGGCCGGCTCTCAGACGCCACCCCTGAGCACTACCTGGTGCAGGTGAGGGCAGCCTGGCCCCTCCCTCCCTCTTGAGCCTCCCTCAGCCCCCTCTGGTCCTCCTTCCTCACGGGGTCCCTCCTCCTACTTTCCCCACGGACTCCTTCTCTGCTTCATGTCCTCACCCTGTCCTCTGGGGTCCTCACCCACTTCCTCTCACCCCCTGGTCTCCTGGGGCCACACCCCCTGCCCTGTGGAGATCCCTGCTCGTCTCTTCTGGCAGGTCCCTTCCTGGCCCCAGCCTGCACACACCCTACCTTCGGAGCAGGAGGGAGAACAGAGTCAGGGGGGATCCCGAGCTGGGGGAATCGTCAGTCTGTTCTCCACATTCCAGAACTTCTCTGGCTTAGCCGTCTTTCCCTTCCCATATCCTCTAGAAAGCCCCACACGCCCAGGTGACTTTCATTTTTCTTGTTCCCTGCTATAGCCCCTGGCCCTAGAACAGTGCTCAGGCACCGTGCAGGTGCTCAGTAGATAGTAAATGGATAATCATGCTGATTAAACCGTGTTTGTTGAAAGAGTAGCTGGGATTTCCTGGTGTCTGGAAGAGCTGGTTCCATTTCTAATCTGTCAGGCAATGTGTGGGTCCTGTCGGAGGGGCACGGCCAGATGATGTCCGAGCTCCGTTGTGCCCAGGAATGAACTCACCCGGTGCCTCTTGCTCTCACCCTTCTTTGCCCTCATTGCATCCATTCATCCCCAGCTGCAGGGGAGAGAGCCCTGTCCGTCCTCAGAGCTTCAGGACCTCAGGAAGGGCCTAGTGCACTTTTCCTCTAGCTGACTCCTGGGGCCCCGGCTGTGACTCCCTGCTTGAGCCCCTGCTCCAAGTCCTTCCTCAGGCCAAGGGAGACATTTGGCTTTTCCTGGAGAGCTTCGGGCCCTACCCTAAAGCCAAATCCTGCCCCTGGAGTGTCTCTCTGTGCTCTTTCCTTAAGGCCTGGCTCCAATGCCGCCTCCTCCATGAAACTTTCTATGATTCCTCATCAGGAGGAGTTGTTTTTCCCTTTCCCATGCTAAAAGACACCCTCCTTGGGATCACAGATGGCCACATATTTTGTTTGTTTTTTCTAAAAACCTGCAGACAACTTGAAGACCCTGTCCCCTGCCCCTTCTCTCTGCTCCCTGTCCTCTGGGGCCTGGGACAGAGCTCCACCAATAGAAGATGTGCCTGAGCCATCTGAGTAACCCCCTGTGGCTCTTCCCCTGCCAGGGACGCTACTTCCTGGTGCGGGATATTGCTGAGAAGATGGATGTCCTGGGCACTGCACGGAGCTGTGGGGCCCCCAACTTCCGGCAAGTGCGGGGTGGGCTCACCGTGTTTGGCATGGGACAGCCCAGCCTCTCTGGATTCAGGCGGGTCCTCCAGAAACTCCAGAAGGATGGACACAAGGTAAATGGGGCTGCTTCTGGACAGAGTCTTGCCCCCAACATCTTCCAAAGGGGCTCCTGGGAGGGGCCTGGACCCATGATGGGGAGGGTGGCTAGGGACCCAGACCAGGCTCTGCTAGGCCTTGAATGCCATGGTGATCACTATGGTCAGCATGGTTGGGAAATTCTGGGTCAATATTTATTGCCTTGTCATGTGTGGACCTGGGGGCCCTGAGGTCAGAATACCCTTATACACCCCACGTTGAGAACCTTGGAGAATGAGAAAGGTGACAGGGTGATAAGAGGGTCCAGGTCATAACAAGAGAGGCACAGCTTGGTGACCACAGTGGACACAGGTCCTTCTATGAAGGCAGGGCAGTTACTCCCATTTCATAGAGGAGGAAATCGAGGCCCAGAGAGGATGAGTGCTGCAGCTTAGGAGTGGTGTCCTGAGACCCAAACCAGCCATCTGGATTCTAAATGACTCCTCTTTCCTGCCTGATGCTGAGGCGGGGTTTTGCGTGCCTGAGGGTCCCCTGTGATTTCAGGCTCCGTGTGGGCAGCCCGTGTCTGGTGTGACCAGGGTTTAGCCGGAGAATCCCCGAGTGAACCAGAGTGGGATGGGCTGTTAGCTCTGGGCAGATCCTGTCCTGTTCCCCAGGAAAGGGTCTGCCCACCTCTCTCTCCTCTGTGCAAGGTGCTCAGTGAATGAATGATTGAACGGTGGTGACGGGCATTCATTTCTCCCCCCAGTGTTCATCAGGCGCTTGATTTATCTGCCATTTCGTGCTCCGAAGAGTGGGGAAGTGAAAATGATCAGGATACGGTTCTCCCTGTAAGGAACCTATCATCCACAAAGGGAGACGTATTCACTGATCATGTGAGGATGAAGCAGGAATTCACACCAGGAGCTTCAGGCAAAGGGCTGTGGGCCCTGAGAAGAGGGACAGTCAGGAGCAGGCGACACTGGGACTGAGCAGGCACAGGGTGGGGGTGACAGGCGCTCAAAGAGGAGGGACCAGTCTGTGCAAAGGCACAGAGGTGCGGCAGAAGGCCGGGCCCCCGTGCTGGGTAGCGGTGACACTCTCTTCCTCCTTTGGCCCCTGGCAGGAGTGCGTGGTCTTCTGTGTGCGGGAGGAGCCCGTGCTGTTTCTGCGGGCTGATGACGACTTCATGCCCTACACACCTCGAGATAAGCAGAATCTTCGTGAGAACCTCCAGGGCCTGGGACCTGGGATCCAGGCAGAGAGCTTAGAGCTGGCCATCCGGAAAGAGGTGAGGGTCCCTGGTGTGGGTGGAGGGCCCTCTCCCTGGCAGGCTGTGGGCATCTGTGTTGGGACCCTGCCTCCCAGCCCCACTTTGCTCTCACCGGCCCATGCTCACCCACTCTTTGGCCCTGCTCTGGCGAGTCACTGGCCGCAGGGCCTGCTTACAGGCAGCCGGAGGAGGGACGTTTCCTATTCCCGGCTCCCTTTGCATCTGCCCCTTTTCCACCCCGCGCACCTCCTCCAGGCTCAGCACCCGTATTTAGCAGGGGCCTGGTGGCGTGGAAGGAGCATTAGACTAGGAGCCCCAGCATGGAGGGTCAGCCCTCCGGGAGCTGTGAGGCCCAGGTGAGTCACTTCTCTCGATGGGCCTCTGGCTGTCTCTGAGGTGCCCCTGTTCTCCTGCACAACCTGGAGGCCTATCAAGGATTTTGATGCGGAGGTGTGTGCCTGGAGTCGGTGGCTACAGTGGCCCCAGAGGCTCCCACGGGCACGAACCCGTGGTCTCCCATCTCCCTCTGGGGGCCTCATCTCCTCTGGCACCCGGCTGACTGAGCTTCCCCTGTCCTTGATTCTGATGGCTTAGCTGATTCCTGCTGCCTACAGGACACGGCAGGGCACTTGCTCCCTGGCCCCAGCGAGGGCCATGTCATCTTGTGCACAGGTTGCTGCCCTCGGGCCACTGGCCACCACCGTCCCATCAGGCCTCCCAGGTCGCAGAGCACCTGGTTCCCCCTGGAGGAAGAGCAGCCTGTCCGTGGCCTCTGTGCGGTCTCCTCGCTCTAGAGCTCGGCCAGGAAGGCCAGGAGGGGCCTGCAGGTCCGTCATGGCCCTCTGGCCCCCACTCCGCCACACAGATCCACGACTTCGCCCAGCTGAGCGAGAACACATACCACGTCTACCACAACATCGAGGACCTGCTGGGGGAGCCCCACGCTGTGACCATCCGGGGTGAGGACGATGTGCACGTGACCGAGGAGGTGTACAAGCGGCCCCTCTTCCTGCAGCCTGCCTACAGGTACCGAGTGACAGGCCTCCCCGATGTCAGCAGAAGGTTCGGGCCGCACGGATGACTGCGTGCTGGGCAGTGGAGCTCCCTGGCCCTGCTTCCCAGCTGTGGCCTCGCTTTCACTGTCTGTAGGCTGGGCCGAGTTCCCCACAGCCATCTCTCCCATAGGAATGCAGGGGTGGGGGGATGCCTGGGCTGTGTGGCCTATCTGACGGGTCTCTCCCCGTCACCTGGCAGGTACCACCGCCTGCCCCTGCCAGAGCAAGGGGCCCCCCTGGAAGCCCAGTTTGATGCCTTTGTGAATGTTCTCCGGGTAAGTCAGGGCAGGAGGGGGCAGGGGGTGGTGGGAGCACAGAGTAGGAACAGGAGCCTGGAGAATGGGTCTGGGTCTAGGCCCTGTCTCCATTGTGATGCTCAGGGCGAGTGTGGCCTCTGGCTTTCCTCAGAGGAAGGCTTCCTTCTGTGTCGTGTAGGAGGTGGAATGTGTGTGTGGGGGTGTGTGTGTGTGTGGCTGTGTATATTTGTGCATTCTCTAATGACAGAGCCCAGCACTGACAGTCTGAAGGCCTGGACGCTGGACAGACTCAGTTGCTAACTTGGCTGTGTGATCTTGGACAAATCACCTGACTTCTCTGGACATCAAGTTACTGGGGCTCAGAGATTCTCATCTGTGGCCTCTTGAGCTGGTGTTTCCTGAGTACTGGTGTTGTTTCTTTCCCAGCCCCTGCGGGAGGCCACCTTATTTAATTTGCATCTCATGGGGATGTCAAATATAGGCCTGTCACCTCTGAGCAGTCTCACTCCCAGGCCCAGCTGGCTGAGCTCCCCCAGGGCCGGGGCAGTAGGCAGGGCCATACTCCTCGGGGCAGGTGGAACAGATTAGGCTTAGAAGTTTTCCAGAAGAGGCTGAACCCCCTGTCTAGGCACCCCTTGCCAAAGACTGTGGGGGCACAGATGGGCCGATGTCATGACCCCCTCTCCCCGGACTTGGTCCTGGCAGAAGGTTTCCAGGTCATGCTGTTGCTGACGGTCGTGGTCTTTCCCAGGAAACCCCCAGCCTGCTGCCGCTCCGTGATGCCCATGGGCCTCCCCCTGCTCTCCTCTTCAGCTGTCAGACAGGCGTGGGCAGGACCAACCTGGGAATGACCCTGGGGTCCCTCGTCCTGTTTCATCACAGTGGGGCTGCCTCGAGGCCAGAGTGAGTGTCCCAGGGCGCCGCAGGGATGAGGAGAGGAGGGCACAGGGTTGCCAGAGTGCTGGGGCCACGTCAGAAGCCCAGGGCCAAAGCCGGAGGTGGGGAACGTGGGGATCATTTCCTGGGTTGTCACAGACTTGCTGAGTAATGTGGAAAAAGTCGTTTGACCTTTCTGGGCCTCAGTTTTCCCACTGGGGAAAATACCCCTTGCTTCCCCCAGCCTGAATGGGAAGGAAGACTTGGAACCTGTAGTCCAGGGCCCCTCAGCGGCCATGTGAATGGAAGCGTCAAGAGCGGGAGCGGGGGTAGAAGATTTTGGAGGTACCGCCTCTGCTACTGACCCCTTCCTCGTTAGGGCTGCCCCCCTGCAGGCCAAGCCGCTGCCCCTGGGGCAGCTGCAGCTGATCCAGAGCTTTCTCCATGTGGTGCCTCAGGGGAGGAAGATGGTGGACGAGGTGAGCTGGGGGCTGGGGCCGTGGAGGGGTGGGCCCTTCTCCGCTGGTGGGGTCTCTTCCTCCCCTGCACTGCCCCCTTCTTGGCAAACCATTCTTTCCCTTTCTCTCCCCTTCCATCTCTGCTGTCTTTCTCCGGCCCCGCTGCCCACCTACCACCCCCTCCCTGCTCCGGTCGCGGGCCCCAGGTGGACAGAGCCATCGCCGCCTGTGCCGAGCTGCACGACCTGAAGGAGGTGGTCTTGGGACACCAGAGGAAGCTGGAAGGCGCCCGGCCCGAGAGCCCAGCCCAGGTGAGGCCTGGAGAGGGCCTGCTTTTGCCCGAGTCCCGTGACCTCATTTTGTGAAACCTGTGAACCGGCTTCTTTGCGACTGACTTTTCCTGGTGGCTGCTTCTCCCAGAGAAGAGAGGCGCTCAGAGGAAGGGCGGATGGAGTAGCTGGGCCGGCAGGAAGGACGGACAAGGAAGAGGGGAAGTTTACTTTCCCTGGCCAGGTCCCCTCGCTGCAGAATAAACAGGACGGAGGAAGGGGCCGCTGGCGGGGGTGCCGGCAGCCTCTGGAGCCAGACACTTCCCAGTCTGCTCCTGGGTCCCCCCGCCAGTCAGTCCCTTGCTGTTTCCTTGGGTAGGCTGGAGTTTGGTCCAGCCTGCTGCTTTTGGAAGAGCGATCGGCTCTGGGCTATCTCAGCAGCTCTGTCCCTCCCTCTGGGGAGAAGCCGTTGTCTTGACAGTGTTTGTGCACAGCACGTGGAAGGAATCTAAGGCCTGCGGAGACTTTCTTCTTTGACACTTTAAAAAATATCTTTCGGAAACAATAGTAGAGTATGGAAAATCGAGAAATTGGAGCAGGCAGAAAGTCACCCATCATGCCAGCACGGCTGCTGGGAGCATTTCAGGCCACTTTCCTCCCCATGTGCTTTGTTTGTGACATTCTTGGTTTGGTTCGGATGCCTCCCGGATGCATTTATGCCTGCTTGTAGCCCTTCTCAGCCCCCCATGCCATCCCTCCTTTCGTCATTGTGGTTCTTGCCGGCTGTGTGACTTCAGCCATCCTTGGCCAGCTAGGTTAAGAGCGTGGCCTCTGGCCTGACCATGTGGGGTCCGGTCCTGGCTCTGCCATTACAGGTGTGTGGACGTGGGCCGGTGCCTCAGTTTCCCCGCTTGTAAAAAGGGAGCCATGAATGATAACCACCCTATAGAGTTGTTACCAGCTGAGATAAGCTGAGATAAGAGCCATGACGCCCTTAGAAGGGAGCCTTTCGCAGAGCATGCGTCCCTGGGATGTCGCTGTCATGATTTACTAACCATGCCCCTCTGGTTGGACTGTTGAGTTGTTTCCAGTTCCTCGCCAGTGTAAATTCTTTTGCAACAAGATAACTTCACGAAAATGAAGCTGTTGTGTATTTAGGATTTTTTTCCCCTTAGTCTAGATTAGAGGTTAGCAAATGGTGACCTAGGGGCCAAATCCAACCCGCTACCTCGTTTTCGTGAATAAGTTTTATTGGAACATGGACTTGTCCATTCAGTTCCACACTGTCTGTGGCTCTTTCATGCTGCCAAGATGGGCAGGTAAAGCAGAGACCCTAGAATATTTACTGCCTTTCATCAAAGTAGATGTTTGCCGACCTCTGGCCTAGATTCCCAAAGATGGGGTTCAGTGTAATCAAAGGGCATGACCTTTCTTGTGGGCCTCTCTCAATCTCACTTGCCCTCCAGAAGGTGGTACTGACCCAGCCGGTGAACTCTGAGATCCTAAGGTGGATAGAGGGACTTTGGGATTCTCTGTGACAGCTCATTACCCCCGGCCCAGGTTGGGCTGTGGTTACGACCTTTGGGGATCCAACTCTCCTTGCCATCAGTGGCATGATTGAGCAAGTCAGCTTATTTCTCAGAACCTCTGTAAAGTAAGGGAAAAAATTGTGGCTCCCTTGGAGCACTGTTATGAGGGTCTTTTTGTTTTCTTGGGGAGTGGGTCAGCATTCTTAAGGGAGGGCCTCTGGCTTAGAGAAGGGTGTTTCTATCCTTGCTTCCTCAACATGATTGGGCACGGCCCTGCATGTGCATGGCTTGGTGCAAAGATGGTGTGGGGGGAAGGGAGGGTCCCAGCCTGTCTCTGCGCACAGAACGGTAGGCTAGGTGGTCCCTGTGTTGACAGCTGGGGTAGTCACCAAGAGCTTCCCCTGGGCCACAGACTAATTGCAGCAAATGGGAGAGTGTTAGATGCTTGGAAGAATTTCCAGCCAGGCAGAACTGTGTTATAAAGGGAGGGGTAGATTGTGTCCTGGGGATTTCTGAGGCTTAACTCCTGCCCTTCGAGGGATGGGGACAGGGTGGCCCCAGGAGCCCTGTTTTTACCACCTGGCCCCCCTTCCGGGTCACCTTCTCTCAGGAAAGTTGCAGCCAGCACGGTGTCCGGCAGAGGGCGCTGCAGAGCCTGGAGCGATACTTCTACCTGATCCTGTTTAACTACTATCTCCATGAGCAGGTGGGCAGGGGGATCAGCGGACCCACAACCCCTCTTCCTGGGGTCCCTCCAGCCCTGTCCCCTACAGAAACTGGCATGGGGTTGTTGAGGACCCCTGTGGAGCTGGGGAAGGGAATGGGGACATATTCATTGGTCCCAGAGGAAGGTGGGTGTGGGAGGCCTGGAGAGACCCTGATAGAGTGGTCGTCCCAGAGCAGGTCAGGCAAGGGGAGGGCCCACCTCTCTCTGTCCTGGGCCCCAGTCTCTGTACCCTTAGCCAGGGCATCGGGGCCTGGAAGGATCTTGCTTTGGACCTTCTGGTCCTCTTGCAGCCCCTCCTCCCTGCCCTGGACCACGATGGATGTCTCTTAGGGCTCTGCCCCCTCCCCCCACAGGGTCAGCTGGGAGAGTTTGGGATGGCCTCGTGCCCCTGAACTCCCATCTCTCTCTGCCTCGGGCTGCAGTACCCGCTGGCCTTTGCCCTCAGTTTCAGCCGCTGGCTATGTGCCCACCCCGAGCTGTACCGCCTGCCTGTGACCCTGAGCTCAGCAGGGCCTGTGGCCCCTGGGGACCTCATTACTATGGGCTCTCTGGTGAGTGTGGCTGGCTGGCTGGGGCAGTGGGAATGGGTGCGGGCTGTCCCCGGGGCTGGTGGGCCCTTGATTCCTGATGGCTTGGATTGAACATCGCCCTCCTTCCCAGGAGACAAAGAGGCGATGGCCTTTGGGGCGGCAGACTTCCTGTGAGTGATGTGGGGTTGATCTCAGGCCCCAAGAAGCGTTTGCAGCTTTGGCCACAGCTGTTTTTCCCTCTCATCATTCTCGAACCCACGTGCTGCAGGAGAGGAGGCAGGAGGCTTGGTTTGGATGTCTTTGCCACCAGCCTCTCATCGTAGAGCCTTACGGTCCTCCTCTGGAGGGTGGGCACTATCGTCTTTCTCCCTGCCGGGGTGGTGATGAAGTGCCCAGTGTGCAAACGGGCTTCGTGGACTGTAAAGTGCTGGTGTCTGCCCTCCCCTGCCCCGCCTTGGGCCAGGCTCTGAAGCTCAGTCAGCTGCTGGGGGTCCCAGGCTTGCTGCTCTCCCCACAGGGGGCAGACGACCTCATCTCCCCAGACGCTCTCAGCACCGTCAGAGAGATGGACGTGGCCAACTTCCGCCGGGTACCCCGCATGCCCATCTATGGCATGGCGCAGCCCAGCGCCAAGGTGACCACCCCAGGGGCCCCAGGTCCACTCGTGGGGTCAAGGGGGGTAATGGTTGAGCCCTTTCACTGATGGCCCACTGATGGTTTCCCCCCAGGCCCTGGGGAGCATCCTGGCCTACCTAGCCGATGCCAAGAGGAAGCTCCGGCATGTCGTGTGGGTCAACCTGAGGGAGGAGGCTGTGCTGGAGTGTGACGGGCACACCCACAGCCTGCGGTGGCCTGGGCCCCCCATGGCCTCCGAACAGCTTGAGGTGAGGCCCTCCTGCCCTCTGCACACCCCCGCCTTGGAGGCCTTCTGGGAAATTGGCCCTGGAGAATCTTCAGAAGGTCCCAGGCTCCTCTTGTAAATGGAGAAACTGAGGCCCCAGGAGGAGCAGACTCAGGGAGTGGCTGATTCGGGACTCCCACTTTGGTCATCTCCCTGGCTCTGGGTCTGGCTCTGACCCCTGAGGCTCAGGAAGGGGCAGGGGTCCACTCGAAAGCCAGGACCTGTCCTGGCCATGGCAGGCTCTGGCCTTCCGGAGGCTGCCTCAGTGGCTTGAGCCCTCTGTCCCATCTTCCTCTAGAACTTGGAGTCCCAGCTGAAGGCCCACCTGAGTATGCCTCTCCCAGGCCCGGGGGGTCCAGCGACCCGCAGGTTCCAGACATGCCGCACCTCGCAGGAGGTCTTTGCCCAGCACCGTGGGGCCTACCCCGGCCTCACTTACCACCGCATCCCCCTGCCGGACTTCTGCGCCCCCTGCGAGCAGGTGAGGGGGCTGTGTGGGCTGGGCCTCTGGGGAGCCAGAGCAGGCCCTCTCCCACCCCTGCTCTGGCCTGGGCCATGACTGTGGGCACAGATCCCCCGAGGGACTGAGAGCTTGTTCCACGAGCCTCCAGTGGCTTACTCACTCCTTTCCAAGGTTCGAGTCTGGGGGCGTGTATGCATGTCTGTGTTTATTCTGTGTCTCAGGTGTGTGTGTGTGTGGGAAGTGTATCCACGGTGTCTGTAGCGAATGTGCGTCTGTGGGGGAAGTGTGTTTGGAGTGTATGTGGGTGTCCTGTGGAGTGAGTACATGTATGTGGTGGGTGGGTTGGTCTGGAATCCGACGGACATCTTGTCTTTCCTGTGTCAGGCGTCTCTGGGGAACTGTGTGGTGTGGTGTGTGTGTAGTGGGGTTGTGGGGTGCTTGTGTGTGTCCAAGGTTGTTTGTGTGCTGTGTGTGCGATCTCTGTAGGATTATGTCGTTGTGTAGTGTGTGTTTTAAGGTCCGTGGGTACGTCTGTGGTGTGTGTGGCCAGCCCTTACTGCATGCGGGTTGCTGTGACACATCCGTTGTTCGGGTGGTGTGTCTGTGCGGGGTATGGTTCCGGGCTGGGTGCGTGTGGGGACAGCTGACCGCAGCCTGGAATGGGTGGCCTCCGGGGCTGGTAGGTCCTGCCTCTGTGGGTCTGGTTGCCTGTTGTTTGTCGCCCCCTGGTGGACCCATGCTGCAGGGATGGGCTGAGGTTGGACCCCTGCCCTCAGGCTGGGACCTGGGTGGGGTCCCTCTCAGTCAAGCAGTGGGGCTGGGGGGTCCCTGCACAGCCCTGGGGGATGGAGCACGTGGGCGTGACATACACATCTTTTGTGTCCTGCCTGGTGGAGGGTGTCTGTGCGTGTGGGGGGGGGGGGGGGGGGGGGGGGGCTGGGGGGAGAGGGGGTGACACGCCTGGGGCAAGGGCTGGGGGTGGCTGTTTATAAGCATGCCTTCTTGTACCTGGCTGTCCCACGATGGCTGCTTTGGGATTGCCTCTTGGAGGGGTGGGCCATGTCTGGAGTCTGCTTCCTACAGCACCGGCTGCCTGACTCGGACCCTGGTCTCCCACGCAGGATTTCGACCGGCTGCTCGAAGTTGTACGGGCTGCCCTTGCAAAGGACCCAGGCACTGGCTTCGTGTTCAGCTGCCTCAGTGGCCAGGGCCGGACCACAACTGCCATGGTGGTGGCTGTGCTCGCCTTCTGGCACATCCAGGTACGTGTGGCTTGTCCTGTCCTGCCTGCACAGGGCAGGGTGCTACTTGGCCCCTGGGACCCTGGCTGTGGCAGGAGCATGTTGGGGACAGGGAGGGTGCACGGCATGGTCCCAGAGCCTGTCCCATCAGTCCTGGGCAGAGGGCTTTGGGGCTGGCAGACCCCTGGCAAGGGGTTCCTCATGTTGGGGAGGGAGCCACCTGGACGGACATGCTCCCTGTCCCAGCAGCTGTCCTCCCTCAGGGCTTCCCCGAGGTGGGCGAGGAGGAGCTCGTGAGTGTGCCTGATGCCAAGTTCACCAAGGGCGAGTTTGAGGTGAGCACACCCCACAGGGCCCCGTGGGGACCCCTGGGTGAGGGGAGAGGGCTGACAGTTCTGGGGGATCTTCAGAGCTCCTCTTAATTATATCACCTTCTCCCATGTCATCATCTCTGTGCTCCCCTGCTCCCATTTCACAGATGAGAAAACCAGAGCACAGGTCAGCTTGGGCTCTTGAAGAAGAGGGGGCTAGACTGATTCCCCCTCGCCACTTGGCCCTGCCACTGGGCTGCTCTGTGCCCTAGGGGAGGCCTTGGCCACATTTTGTCTGGATGGCACTGACGACTGCCTCACAGGCTCTGGGGCCCCAGCTGTGGCTGGTAACCTTGATGCTGGGCCGTGGCCTGTCCTACCTCACCCCTGTTTCAGTCCAGGGCACTGGGTGGACAACTGCTCACATTTCTGATTTAGTCACCCCTGTATTGTGCACCTGCCACGTGTCATCACCGCAGACACCCTGCAAGCAGGCAGCGGGGACCCTATCTTATGGGGGTGCTCAGAGCTGGCACGGGTCTCTCTGGTGTTGGTGCTGTGGCCATCTGGCTACACAACATTCCCTGCCTCTTCATCTGGCCACACAGCATTCCCCTCCCCCACTGTCCCTGCTGTCTGTCACCGTGGCCTTTGCGTGCTCCCTCAAACTTGCCAAACTCCCTCAGCTTCTCGGCCTTTGCGTCTGCTCATTCCTCTCCTGAAACTCCCCTCTTCCTTCTCACTGATTCGTTATTAGATTTTTTTTTTCACTGTGGTAAAATGTACATACCATATAATTGACCATTTTAAGTGTCTTTAAGCGTATAGCTCTGTGGCACTGAGTACATTCACTTTGTCGTGCAACCATTATCACCATCCATCTCCAGAACTTTCTCTTCATCGCAAACCGACCATACCCATGAAACAGGAACTCCCCATTGCTCCCTCTGCAGCTGCTAGTGACTATTGTTCTACTTTGTGTCTCTGTGGATTTGACTGTTCCCCATGCCTCATTCAAGTAACATCACCCAGTATTTGTCCCTTTGTGTCTGGTCTATGTCATTTAGCATCATGTCCTCCATGTTGAGTGTCTTTTCGCTTTCACTCCTTTTCAAGGCTGAGTAGTATTCCCTTGTATGTATGGACCACGTTTTGTTTACCCACTCATCTGGCGGTGGACACTTGTGTTATTGTCACCCTCTGGCGACTGTGAGTCATGCTCCTGTGAACATGGAAGCCCAAATACCTGTCTGGATATCTGTTTGCAGTTTCAGAGGTGGAATTGCTGGATTGTACAGTAACCTGCTTGATTTTTAAACAGCGGCCATATGGTCGTTTGTGGCAGTGGCGCCATTTTACGTACCCACCAGCAAAGCACAAGAGGTTGAGTTTCTCCATGTTTTTCCCAACATTTGTTGTCTTCTGTTCTGATAGTAGCTGTCCTGGTGGATGTGAGGTGATACCTCGTGGTTTTGAGTTGTATTTCCCTGTTGATGAGTGATGCTGAGCATCTTTCCAGATGCTCATTGGCTGCCTGCATGTCTTCTGTGAGGAAATGTCTGTTCACGTTCTTTGCCCATTTCTGATTTGGTTTGTTTTGTTGCTGAGTTACAGAAATTTTAAATATATTCTGGATATCAATCCCTCAGTAGGTACACGATTTGCAAATATTTCCTTTCATTCTGTCAGTTGCCTTTTTATGGGGTTGATGGTGTCCTTTCTTTGGTTGCCTGTACGTCTGATGGCCTGTCCAAGAAGTCACTGCCACATGTGATGTCATGGAGTTTTTCTCTGCATTTGTTTCTGCCAGTTCTATGGTTTTAGCCCTGGTTTAGGTCTTTGATCCATCTTAAGTTAAATCTGTATGTGAGGGGTGCCTGGGGGCTCAGTGGGTTAAAGCCTCTGCCTTCGGATCGGGTCATGATACCAGGGTCCTGCGATCGAGCCCCGCATTGGGCTCTCTGCTCAGCAGGGAGCCTGCTTCCCTCTCTCTCTGCCTGCCTCTCTGCCTACTTGTGATCTCTGTCAAATAAATAAATAAAATCTTTTTAAAAAATTGTTTAAAAAAATCGGCATGTGAATATCCATTTTTCTCAGCACCACTTGTGGAGTGGGCCTTGAGGGGGCCCTTTGTGTGGGGTGAGCCTGTTGCTGGGGCTGGAGGCCCCACCTACCTCCCCCCCTCCCTTAGTTTTCTCTGTGCTCTCCTGGCCCCAGGTGGTGATGAAGGTGGTGCAGCTGCTGCCTGACGGGCACCGCGTGAAGAAGGAGGTAGATGCAGCCCTGGACACGGTCAGTGAGACCATGACGCCCATGCACTATCACCTGCGGGAAATCATCATCTGCACCTACCGCCAGGTGAGCCTCGCCCTGACCCAGGTGTCCTACCCCCAGTGCGCAGCGAGCTTGGGGCTGACTGGACGTGAGGCAGCTAGGGCTCCCGTGGGACCCTCATCAGTTCTGTTACTCCTTCACCTTCTGGAAGTGACCTGTGAAATGGAAACACGCCTGGCCCCGGCTCACCCTGGCGTGATTCAGGGAGTTCTTGGTGAGGTATGTGTGTGTCAGGGATGATCAGAGCGTTTGACACCTGTGGCAGCCCTGGAACTGGTCAGGGATCTGGCCAGTCAGAACCAGCACCCCATCCTGACCCCTGTGGTGCCAGGTGTTAACCCTTCAGGTTCTGGGTCGTGGGGGGTGCTGAGGGTCCCAGGCAGGAGTCAGGTAGCTAGATGGGGCCACTCCAGGGCTTGGCACGTGGCCATCTAACGACCGGCAGGGCACCCGTTCAGTGTTTCAACGGCTGTTGCCGAGTGACTGCTCAGGACCTATGTATGTCTGCACTACCCAGGAGCTGGGGCTGGCTCCCAGATTGACCTCCTCCGTTAAAAATTGTGTTTGGGTGACTCATTAAATGATAGCAATGAAAATGTTTCCATAAATTTACAAACCTTCTGTAAAAGCCCAGAGTTTCAGCCTATTTAGAAAAAAGTGTGTCGTTCCCTTGGCTATCAGTGGGGCTCTGTCATACACAGCTCTCCTGGCTCAGTCAGATGATTTCACGTTACCTTCTGGTAACCATGTTCACCCACTCCCATTCCAGAGGTCAGGCTTCTGCTGACCTCAGCAGTGGGAGGATAGGGATCCCTGAACCCCATGCAGGGCTCCCTGGTGCAGGGGTGATGGGGTGGGGTGGGGGTAGAACGGAAGGAAGATATAGAGTCATTCCCCAATATGGCCGCTAGGTGGCCTTAGTAAGCTGAGCCTGGGTCAAATTCTCAAAGAGGCTGAAGAGCGGAAGGCCTTCATTCTCTTATCTGGTCCTTTTCACGCCGGTGACACACTTGTTTCACACGGGAGCTTTAAAACATTCCCGTGCCCGAGTTCCATCCATAAAGTCTAACTTACTAGGTCTCCTTGGGGGGCCAGGGTGTGGGTGTTTTTTGTACAGTTCCTAGGTGATTGTAATGCATAGTCAAGGTTGAGAACCATCTCATCTAAGCGGGAGTCCCCGGCTGCGGTGAGTTTCAAGATCACTTGGGGCGCCTGTTCTGGGCTGGGCTCCAGTTCTGAGTTTCTGATTCCGTAGGTCTGTAAAGCTCTTAGATGATGCTATGCTCCTGGTTGGGGGCCCCTTCTGGGGGATTTGCTGCAGCCAAGTCTCACCCTTTTGCTGTCTTCTAAATGACAGCTTTATGGAGATAGAATTCACGTACCATACAAAACAATTATTTAAAGTATAATTCCCCGGTTTTTTAGTACATTCTGAGAGCTATGTAGCCATCATCACAGCCAGATACAGAACATTTTCATCGCCCCATTTCATCCTCCCCCAACCTTAGGCAGCCGTGAATCTACTTTCTGCCTCTATGGATTTGCCTATCCTGGACATTTCATAAAAATTGAATCACGCACCATGTGGTCCTCATGACCAGCTTCTTTCACTTAGCACAATGTGTTCAAGTTTCATCTGTGTTCTAACCAGGATCATGACTTCATTCCTTTTTGTGACTAATATTCTATTGTATGGATATATCACATTCTGTTTTTGGTGTCATGCCTAATCTAAGCTCATGAGAATTCATCTCTAAGAGGTAAGTAGTTTTCTTCTAAGAGTTTTGTAGTTGTAGCTCTTACATTTAGTCTTTGATTCATCTTGAGTTAATTTTTATATATGGTGTGAGGTAGAGATCCAACTTCATTCTCTTGTATGTAGATATCCAGTTGTCCTCGCACATGTGTTGAAAAGACAGTTCTTTCCCCCACTGAATTATTTTGACACCTCTAAAAAAAATCCATTGACTGTAAATATGAGGGCTTATTTCTGAGCTTTTAATCCTGTTCCATTGATCTGTTTGTGTGTTCTATGCCAGTACTATACTGTCTTGATTACCATAGTATTGTAGTAAATTTTGAAATTAGGAAATGAATTCTTCAAGTATGACTTCTTTTTCAGAACTATTTTGGCTATTCTGGGTCCCTTGTATTTCCATATGAATAGGAATTAGGATTAGGATTAGCTTGCTAATTTCTGAACACCAAAAAAAAGCCAATTGAGATTTTGATAGGGATTTCGATGCAGATCAATTTGGGGAGTATTGCCATCTTAACAATAGTTCTTCTTTTGATGCATGAACATGAAATGTCTTTCCATTCACATAGGGTTTCTTTGCTTTTTTACAAGATATTTTATAGTTCCAGAGTGTGAGTTTTACACTTCTTATATTAAATTGATTCATAAGTAACTTACTGCTTTTGTGCTATTGTAAATGGAGTTAATTTCTCAATTTCATTTTTTAGTTTGTTCATGGTTACTATATAGAGATACAATTGACATTTGTATATTGATCTTCTATCTTGCAGCCTTACTGAACTAATTCATTAGTTTTCATACCTAGTGAATTTTTTAGGATTTTCTATTTAAAAGATCATGTCATATGCAAATAGAGATAGTTTTGCTTCTTCCTTTCTAATTTGGGTACCTTTTATTTAATTTTCTTGCTTAATTGCCCTGGCTAGATCCTCCAGTGGAATGTTAAGCAAAGTTAGCTAGCAGAGACAACCCCCCTCTAGTTCCTGATCTTAGGGGGAAAGCTTTCAGCCTTTCACATTAAATCTGATTTTAACTGCTTTTTCTTTTCTTTCTTTCTTTTTTTTAATTTAAGATTTTATTTATTTATTTGGCAGACAGAGATCACAAGTAGGCAGAGAAGCAGGCAGAGAGAGAGAAGGAAGCAGGCTCCCTGCTGAGCAGAGAACCAGATGCGGGGCTCGATCCCAGGACCCTGGGATCATGACCTGAGCCGAAGGCAGAGGCTTTAACCCACTGAGTCACCCAGGTGCCCTAACTGACTTTTTCATAGATACTCTTTGTCAGCTTGAGAAAGTTCCCTTCCATTTTTAGTTTATTGAGTCTGTTTTTTTCTTTTAATGAGGAGATGTTTACTGTTGTTAAATGCTTTTCCATATCTGTTGAGATGATTATCAAGGTTTCTGCCCTTTATTCTATTGATATAGTATGTTATTTTAATTGAACTTTAGGTGTTAAACCAACCTTGCATTCTGGGATAAATCCTACTCAGTCATGGTGTGTATCTTTTTATGTTGTTAGATTTGGTTTGTTGAGGATTTTTGTGTCAGATTCCTAAGAGATCTCGGTCTCTTTTGTCTTTGTTCAGTTTGGCATTAGGGTCCTGCTAGCCTCACAGAATGTGACTGTCTCAATTTTGCAGATGAGACCGAAACCTCAAGAAGGGAGAGGCCATCATACGTGCATTAGTCAGCTCGGGCTGCCACAATAAAATACCACAACCACATGGCTTAAACAACAGAAATTTATTTTCTCACATTGCAGAGACTGGAAATTCCAAGATGAAGCTTCTGACCGATTTGTTTCCAGAGAGCACTCTCACCATACTTGTGCACGGCGACCTTCTCTCTGTGTCCTCCCACGGCCTTTCCTGGCTGCCTGGATAGGGACAGATGGTGGGATGGGAGAGAGAGAGGGAAGGAGCTGTCTGATATCTTTTCTTATAAGGACACTAATCTTAGAGATCCTAGAACAAAGAAAGAGCTAAAAGCAGCCTCAATCCCAGTAGCTGGGATTCATGAGGCCAGTTTAAAACAGGGAAGGACCTTTCTAGGATTGCCAGTATGTAACCTTGGTAAATGTGTCCATTTTAAAGAAAGGAGAGATGGAAGGAAAGAAAGAAGCAACAATTTAAAAACCTAACTACCATATACACGGTTGACATTTCATTAAAAAAAGCATATTTTAGTACCAGAAAGGTAGAATGGACGTGATCTGGGAGTAGAATAGACATGATCTCAGAGTAGAGTCCTTGAACAGATTTATGTTTCTAAGTTCCTGTAGACCCGTGCAACTGGTTATGGATCACAGCTTTTGGTGACCAGGCCCCTATATCCTTTAGATAAAAAAGGCAGAATGTCTTTCCTCCAAGGTCACCCTGCACTTGACTTGGCCTGGCTAGACCCAACGAATATGTCCTGCTAAGGTCAGGATGGCCTGAGCTGCCCCAGCTGCCTTGAGATTAGAAGGGGCCTCTGGCTTGCTCTGTGCATGCCTCTGTGTGGACTCTGGAATGGCTGGATTGTTCTGGGCTGACGGGCAGAAGGAATGTGGGTGTGGGAGTTGGAGGAGCCTGGGTTTCGATAGCCATCTTCATCCTCTCTGACCGCCTGTGTTCCCACCTGACAGGCAGGACCGATACTGCTTCCTGGCAGGGCTGTGTGTGAAAAGGACACAAGGGACCAGAAGTACAGGGCTGACACACAATAAGTGTTCGACTAATGGGAGGGCTCTGAGGATCCCTGTAGGGCCAGAGTGTCCTGTGATGTCCTGTGATGTCCTGTAGCTTCAGAATCCCCACAGAGATCCTCAGGTTTCAGCGCTAAAGAACTTACGGAGCATTTGTCCCCTCTGCTGACAGATGAGCTAGAGAGCGGTTTTCTAGGGTTACATGTGCGTTGCTCTCAGAGCGGGGCTGAGAGGCGAAGAGCCTCGCTCCCAGACCCCAAGCCTCTAAAAGTTACTCCAAACCGCCCCAGCCCTGGTTCATGTTTAGATTTTCTCAGTGGTCTCCCAGAGTCTTTTTGCGGTTGGATCAGGATCCAGATCAGAACCACAGATCACATGTGGCTGATGTGGCCCGTGGAGCCCAGGGCTGCTCTTCTCCCTCTCCTTCCCCTGAAGTGTAACCCCAGAGGGAAACGGGTTGCTTATTAGACACCTGTGGTCTGGACCTGGCTGGTCGCACCCCGAGCTCTAACTAATCACGGGTGATGCCATGGGCTTCCACAGGGGTACAGAAGGCCCTGTGGTGTCTCTTGGGACCAGGCAACTGCTGGAGGTCGTCACCTGGATTCTTTATTTCACTGAGGGTTTGCAAAATGCTGATACGCTGGCACTCTCAGTCCCCCTCTGTTAGCTAACTCAATCATTCCAGAAAGATACTCCCCACCAAGGTGTGGCAGAGGCAGAAAGGCAGGGCCCAAGCTTGGTTTTTCACTGGACTTGCTCGTGTTAAAGGAGGTTTGCAAGGTGTGCTTCTCTAAAGCCGAGGGGAAGGATGTTGGGTTCGGGGAGCCTCTGTTCTTCCAGACTCGGACTTGGAGCCTGTGATGTGGGTCTGGGTGACTGGGGTGGTCTGGGAGAAGGAAGATGGAGGGGCTCCTGAGGGGAGGCTGGGAGTTGCCAGAGGCCAGGGCTGGAGGCCAGGAGACCCAGCCTCCACATGTCCCCACTCAGAAACAGTGTGGGAGGTGCCCCCACGAGGCTCACTGAGCATCTGGCTCAGTGCTCACTTGTATCTGTGCCTGAGGAAGGGGAGGCTGTACCTCAAGGCCATGTGTGCCTTTGAGGAAGGGAGGCCGTGGGCTTGCCCAGGAACCCATAGCTGGTGGATGGCAGGAGGAGAGCAAGACCCCAGACCTGGACTTCCAGGTTGGGCCCTCTCCGCCCTGCTGCCCAAATTGGAGGAGAGTTTCAGCTCCTTCCCACCTCAAGCCCTGCTGCTTCCGGGGTTGGGGGAAGCAGAACTAGAAGCCATAATCCGTGCTCTTGGCCTGAGGTGGCCAGAGAACAAGAGCACATCGCAGACTTGGGTAATAAACACAGAGGGAGGGATGGGACTACAGCTGCACACACATTTTCCACAGAGACAGGCCTTCCCTTGTATGACAGTCTTGCCCCCACTCTCTGCCTAGGCTCATCCCTGGCAGCCCAGCAATGTGTCCTCCACTCTCTAGAGTGCAGTGAGACTGGGCCGGGGCCTAATCTGCCTTATGTGTGTGACGGGGCCAGAATGCTCAGGGCATTTTAAAAACCACCTCAAAAAGAAAAAAGAAAGAAAGCTCTTTGAACTAAGCCACTCTGTGAGGTGGCGATAGAGGTGACAAGGCTGGGTCCCAGCCCACAGTGGGGACACCATCTGGTGAATTAGTTGTTTCCTGCTGGGCCTAGAAAGGGAAAAATATTTGTGACAGAAACTCAGGTCAGGGATCCTGGAGGAATTCCTGCTAGAATCATTAATGCCAGCGGCCTTTTCCTTAGCTTTGGCTGGTGACATTTGGCTGGTGACTGTTTTGAACAGTCTAATGTGTCTCCCTTCTGTCCCTTCAGAAGGAGTTTGAAGAAAAACTGAGATAAAAGTAGCCACACAGAGAGGAGTAAAATGTCCTTTGGTCTTGAAGTGAGATTTCGTCTATAAATCTCTAACTTTGAACAGTGCTTTTTGAGTTTTCTAAGAACTTACTCTTTTGTCTCCCTTGGTCCTCGGGGTGGCTGGTAAGGAGGTGATGGTAGGTTTTACTAGACCATTTTCCTGAGGAGGACACTGAGGCCTAACGACACCATGATCAGCTCGAAGCAGGACCAGAACCCATCTCCCAACACCTCAGCCCGTGTTCCTTCCCTCCCCGACAGCCATGACCCAGGGGGCAGTCTTATTGTGGTGGAAAAAGGAAGGGGCCAGTGAGGGAGCCACCAGGGCCTACCACACGCGCTGCCCTGGGTTGGTGCCGAGTTGCCAAAACGTCAGAGGTTTAGCTGGGTGCCCGCACAGACAAAGGGTGTTATCTTCAGATGACTTTCAGCCAAAGTCGTTCCCTGAAGACCTCATTCCAGTAGGCAGTGTGTCTCCAGGGCCTGGGCTGTGCAATTAGAGCGGCCTTGGAATGCTGTAAGCTGTCACAGAAAATATGATGGAGGGAAGAGTTGCTCGGGTGGACGAGCG